GCTACTCACACTGACATGGATGCAGAGGATTCGCATCACAAAGCAGGTTCTTCACTGTGGCCATGACATCACACCGTGTGCCACGACCTGAAAGGGCTGCAGCGCACGCAAAAGCACCCCAAAAGCCCAGACATGGCCTAGCCTGGGTCATGGCTAGGAGGCGGGTCACGTGAAATCATTGTTGTCCTGATATGCAGTACCACACCTGGCCACTCCCTTGCCGCCTGCTTACTTGGGCCTACTTGGTACCCTTTTCCTTTCTTCCCTATAGCCCTATCCATCAAAACAGCTCTTGGGGCATCCCTTGGCAATTGCGAAGGGTGTGTGCATCAAGGTGGCCTTTCATGGAAATCTTGGAAAAGAGATGTTCCAGTTTGTTGTTTTCCTGTTTGGTATTGCAGAAAAATCGCCATACAAGGCTGTATGATCCGAAGTGCCTATCTCAGGCCATTTATATATAAGTTGGAAGCCCATTCGAGAGGCCTCAAGTAAATTCATGCAAAGAGGCGAAGATGTTTTGATTATTTTGATTATCACTTTCACTTCCATATTTGGCATGACTACAGTCTATGCATTGCAACGTAGGCCATCATCCCGATTTAAACCTCATGATCCTATGCTGCTCTGAGCATTGCTACAGTAGCTCGGCGGCTTTTATTGAAATGGCCCCCAGAGAGCCACAATAGACTTTTTTGTTGCTCTCTTGGGGCTATTTATGGGCTTCGTGCTTGCTAGGGGGGTTGGGGAACCCGGGCGCCCCGATAGGTTCAGCTGGACTCCTCACCCAGGCCTGCGCTGGAAATGTGGACTGGGCGAAAGTTTCAAGTGGGTGAAAACAAACCAGTCAAGTGTGGTTCTTCGAAAGTGCTGGCAAACCACGATCGGGGAGAAATTGTTTCAGCATGCAGCATGCATGAACTATCAAACTGAGTCACTGGCGACTGTGTGTGGAGACCTGTGATTCAAGTTTTGCCAAAGCTTCAAAGCGGAGGGCTGCCATTCATATTGTATCAGATTTATTCATTGGACGCGGCTGGTAATTGTAAGCAAGCCGGATGCGTGCAAGTGTGATGTCTCTTATGATGTGCCGGCAAATGTCACAACACATCTATACTCGTGTGCTCTCATGTTATTTTGTATATAACTTCAAGTTTGTGTGCCCTAAAGAGATGCTCAGAGACCAGTTTCTTGGACAGCTTTTGGCCTCGCCCAGGCGACGATCGCTGCAGCGGCCAATGTATCCCATGTGGAGGTTTGCACACCATGAGATTTGATTTCTTGAGCATGTGCTTTGCATCTGCCTTGGCGTTTTCAAGACCAAGGGGTTCATGTCACTTCCAGATATGCGAGGTAGGCTCCGGTAAGCCCAAAGCAGCCTTTTTCCCACATGTGTAGCGAAGGGTTCCCGTTTATAGTCTGGCGATCTGGGGGCTGGCCTTGCCTTGAAGCTGTGTTCTTGTGACAGGTCTCAGGTAAGATTGCGATTTTTGTTGATAGTTGACAATTACAGTAATTGCATCATATTCCAGGTGCAAGTTATATATATATATATAGATGAGTCTCTCATGAGGCCAAGCCGCCGTCCGAGCCCTCAATGGCGCGACGTTGGAATGCTGCGACCTGAGAAGGTCTAGAGATAGAGAACCCGTGTTGACTCTTGATCCATTTGTTTGCATTCCCATGTGCGAAGTGAGGCATTCAATTCCAAACAGGAGATATTGGCTGCATTGCCACCTGATGAACGATCAGCACTGGATTGAGGCCGAATGTGCAACAGCCTTTCCTGGCAGATGCCTTGCAGAGCCCCAGCTGCATCAATGCAAAGTCCTAGGCCCTAGGCCGTCAACAGAAATAACTGGACAAGAAAAGGGCATTTAGACCAAATGTTGTGCTTGTCCGGGCGCCTTTCTGCTGATGGTCATCGAGTCATCCATATATAAAACTTCCTTGTTTTGCCCTTGCACACGAAAGCCCACAGGCATTGGTCAAGAACTGTTTTGCTCTATCCACTCGCTTTGGTTTTGATTGAAGTTGCGTTTCCTTCGGCCAAGGCAGGGGTGGGCATGCAGATCAGCTTCTCCACCACAGCCTGTTCCCAAGAGACTGATGATTTTTGAGAATCCGAAGCCAGCAGTTGCAGCGCGGTCCATTTGGTTGGTCAGTTTGGCAAGTAAAACAGCTGTTGCTAAACGCGCTTGTGCTGTTGGGTCATTTGTCCTACCTCTTCGTACTAGTTTCAAGGGCTGTGGGGAGCCTGTTTGGACAGACTTCAACTTCGCTTCAGGTTACGGATGGTTACGGCATCCAATGCGATTTGCCTCACCTGATCCAGCCCTTCTGGTCCCGATGAACTCGCTTGCCCACTCCCGTTCTCTTGCGTAGTCGCAAGAGCAAGTTCTTGCTTCGATGGTGTTGGTGATCGGATTGGCTCAAGGCCACCCCAAATTGCATACGCACGCAACGGTTCAGCTTTAAGGGTGCCTCTCACCAGAGGTTTACAGTTTGTTGATCTGGGTTTGATTTTGAGCTCCAAAAGCCACGGTGAAAAACCGGGGGTAGATGTAGTGGTTTTTGGGCTCACTTTCCACATGCTGTCCAAATTCTTTGCGAGGCAATTGCATCAGCAACTTGGACATCTTCAACAGGTCGAAGAGCAACTACACAAGCTCAAGGATCACCGACTCGCCCTATTGCCACAGGTTGTTGGGCCAGTCCTTGCGTGCTCCGCACCCAGCCTCCACCTACATCCACCTAGAAAGTGTTTTTTCTGTGTAAAGCATATCGGCTATTTCCAGTGCAAGCCGTTGC